ACGGGCGCAACAGGCCACATCGGAAGGATGGACTTCGAGTACCGATCACGGTGTACATTGGTAGAGAAAAACATGGATACGAATTGGCTCTTCACAGCCATCCCGTGCGAACTTTGAGAGTTTCGCTTGTTTCATAGTTGAGGGCGATATCATTACTTTAGAGTGAGATTATGAAATAAAATTCCTCACCTCTGTGGGTTCTTGTTAACAGGAAAAAAAAAAAAAAAAAAAAAGAAAAAAAATAAATGGACAAAGTGCCAAAGCGAGCTATGGGATATCAACATAACGGAGCATAATGACATGTACTGCCATGCAAAGTTCAACGGTGTACCAGCGGAAGATGACTTAAGGCAGATCCTTAAGTTACAGTCAACAACTCGTACACATCACACGTGGATCGCTCAGAACAGGACGCAGGAGCATGTTAAGGATTGAGGGCCAGAGAGAGAGGTGTAGACCCACCAAGGACAAAAGAGCCAACTTTTACTGCGGCAGAGGAGGACTACATTTGGAAAACTCTGGAGATGCATATCGATGGTGTGCGAGAAGTACGACGCCATGGTGATAGGAACGGCGATGATGAGGAAGAGAGAGAGCACGCACCAGATTGGTCTGTGCAGGACATTTACCATGGACTTACGCCCAAGTCCATTGCTCAGAGTTGGAAAGTTGGCTTCAAGACAACAACAAGGATAGCTACATATATGGCAGGGCGCTTCGTCAAGGCCATAGAAGAATTCGGTCGTACAGAAATCTGGAACAAACGGTGTAAAGTTACTGTTGAATGGGAAAAGGCTCGTGGAATCACTGCTATGAGCAAACGCGCTAGAGGACGCAACTGTGTTGGGGAGCACAGACGTAGTAGCAATGATTTCCTTGTCCCTTCCCTCAGACAAAGACAGAAGCTGAATGTAAAAGAGATCTACAAGATCGCGGATGACCGAGTCCGGGACATTTACCTTGGGAAAGCCAAACTGGACGTGATGGAGCGGCTAGGTGGAATGAAGTTTTTGATGACTATGGATAGCGGATAATTTGTCGCGTTGCGCAACAGGCCACGTCGGAAAGGTGGACTTTGAGTACCAACCACGGCGGTCAGGGTTTATGAAATCATGGATACAGCGGCTCTTGTCGTTTGTGCAGTAATAGCTGTTTATTGACTATAGTTTCTGGAGCATTTTGTTCATAGAATGTAGAAAATAAATCCCATGACCCTGAGGGTCCTTGTTATCAAAAAAAAAAAAAAAAAAAAAAAAAAATGGACAAAGTGCCAAAGGAGGATAATCTGACAAATAGATCACTAAAGGATCATAAATCAACAATGATAGTCCTAGAGAATGCTGCAAAATAGCATCAAAAGTGAAAAGAGGGATCCTTAATAAATACTGATAAGAACGAGCTTGACTTAGTAAAACTACAAATAATAATAAAAGTCGCTCACCTGCAAAATAGCATCAAAAGTGAAAAGAGGGATGCTGTTTTGCAAAGAAGCCAAAGTGATTTAAATACTAGGATTGATAAAGGAAATAATGATAAAAGTACTGAATGATGATGGAAATAATGAAGAAGAGGATACGTAAATAGCAGATTTACGACAGCCATTGTCCTAAATCGAGGCAACTTAAGCTCACGTCCTATAACAAGTTACGTCATGGTAGGTAGAACCAGGTATACCTATAGCGGTACCGTCAAACCCACCCCGTCCTGCCTGGACGTGAGCTCAGGCACCCGATCCTCCTCGCTATAATAAATAGTGGACTCTCCTTCCCTGAAGTGTTCCTTACCTTTATCTTGGGCGGTTGTCCGAATCCTGTATGGATCTAAGTGCCTAAGTATATTTTATATCTATCAATCATTCTTTTTAAAAACAGGTCCCTCGTTTACACCTGTAGCCGACAACGTGATTTGGGGCTCTTTGGAAGCGATGTTCAAGGGCGTCAGAGAGATTCGACATGCAAGCACTCTGTTTGGTGAGGAAGATGTGGATATGGGACGGAGGAACGAGGGTGAGGATGCCTACTGGACTGTCCAAGACTTGTACCACGGTTTGGTGCCAAAGGAGCTGATACAAAAATGTAAGACGATCTTCAGAACCACAGCATCGATCTCAAGGTACATTGTTTGCCGCTTTGTCAAGTCAATCGAGGAACTCGGCAGGACTGAAATCTGGAACAGACGCTGCAAAGTCACCGTCAACTGGGAAAGAGACAATGGTATCACCTCTGTGAGCAAACGCGCCAGGGGACGCAACTGTGTTGGGAGGCACAGACGTAGCAGAGGTGAATTCTTTGGCTCTCACCAGGGACAACGACGAACAGCAGATGTGAAGGCGATCAGGACTGAGGCAGACCGGCGAGTGGCGGCAAGCTACCGGCAGCAGGTGGAATTGGCGATTATGGAGCGCCTGGAAAGCTGTAAATTTTTGATGATTGAGGACAGCGGCTAAAGGATGACCTTCGCGCGCAACAGGTCAAGTAGGGAGTAGAGCCGTGCCACAGGTCCTCTGGGACCAAGGAAGTCTACTCAATGCTGACGTGGTTTATGAACAGGATGTAGTACTGTGGCAGTATGACGATGCGGCTTCGGTCGATTATTGGATACCGCTTTATTTGCGACCCCAGTAATGGGGCAACCCATTTATAGAGCTAACATCTAAATAAATCCTACATGACCTCATGGGTCCTTGTTATCAAAAAAAAAAAAAAAAAAAAAAAAAAAACACAGCGAGACGCAAATACAGGGAACACACTGAAATGTTGTACCATGATAAAGGTCTTTATTAGTTTATGATATAATACTATACAAGTAACTAGTGCTGAGATGAATGAGGCTGCATATACCTGATGTTGTACCAAGGCGGTCATCCGAATCCAAGTAGTCACCCAAGATCCAAAGAATTGAGCAATATCCAGAAGTTGGCGAAACGCGCATTGATATCGATGGAAACATCTTTGAAATATATTTAAAAAAAGTATGCAGTTTGAGGTAGTGAGGGGGTTGATCTTGTAGTTTTAAACACGTTGATCCAATATAGTTGGACAGGTAGCTCGAGAATGGCGGTACATGGCTCACTCCACTTCCACATCCAAGCCAAGATATTAAAGTTCAATTGCCATAACTATGATTCAGGATCTCTTATTTTAGATATCTATGATTGCCGCAGCATGCTTTATCGAAACTCTATTTGTTTTTAAAAAAGAATGATTTTTTTTTTTGATAACAAGGACCCACGAGGTCATGTAGGATTTATTTAGATGTTAGCTCTATAAATGGGTTGCCCCATTACTGGGGTCGCAAATAAAGCGGTATCCAATAATCGACCGAAGCCGCATCGTCATACTGCCACAGTACTACATCCTGTTCATAAACCACGTCAGCATTGAGTAGACTTCCTTGGTCCCAGAGGACCTGTGGCACGGCTCTACTCCCTACTTGGCCTGTTGTAGGAATCGCTGAAGCTCAGATTTAAAAATACGTGGCTTTTACCTTTAGGAATGTGGCTTTGGTGGCTATTATGGCGTCACATGGTTGTAGAGAATCAAAATTTACCAAATACAAGTGCTTTAGAAAAGGCGGACCAATCAGAGTACACCTTTGAGCTCCAAATGTCAGCTTGGCCGAGTGGTTAAGGCGTATGACTTGAAATCATATGGGATCTCCCGCGCAGGTTCAAACCCTGCAGCTGACGACACTTTTGCTTCTCATGGAAATCAAATTATCACTTCAATGGGCCCCCTCATTACCATTACCCTTTGATCCTCTCCATCCTCAGGAGGTATTTTTTGGGGCTGCCAAATAATGTTTTGCAAAACTAATTTGAAACGGTTGATCGGCCACACACTACACCCAGTGCTCCTATTCGAACTGAAACTTTGTCAATTATAATGTTTCAGATTAAAATAATAAATATCAATTGACAAAGTTTCAGTTCGAATAGGATCATTGACTACACCTTGTTGCACCCATCATATAATTACAAATATTAGTATTTGTCAGAAAGAGTAAAACTCATATGAATAAGTTGCGCTTCGATGCCTGTTAGCAGCTTCGGATGGAGCGACGACAATTGGGTTCGAAATGAGTGACTTTGCTTACAGCACCAAGGTATCAACATGTCCATAAAGAAACACTCCGTTATAATTTTTTTTTTATTTCCACGGGAGGAACAGTGTGTATGGGACCGTGCAAATACTTTTTTTATGAGGATGCTATTTGGCAGCTGGGCTACCAAAGAGAGTGATCATTTTTGGTAATGGGCTGCTAAATAATATTTGGCAGCTCGGTTGCCAAATAGATTAATCCTTTTTTTGGAAAAAGATATTTGTACGGCCCGTGCAATTAACTTTATCCATATAGATAATAAAGAGAACCAGATTTAATCAGATCTTAAAACGTATTCCGTGCCCCATATTTCTGTTTGCATCTAACATTGTCACTCTATCACGCACTCCATCGTTTTTATTTTAGACATTCACCCCTTCAGGACAGTGTTCACGAGTTGTTCATGACTGAAGAAAAGGTGTTTCACGAAAGTGACTGGGCGTCACAAAACCTGGTTACGGATACAGGATGGTCGCGAATATCTATGCCATATTCAGCGCAACTGAGCACTATTAAGAGCTGGATTAGGAGGAGCGTTTGGGACAGATAAAAAACACCGCGTCCTCTAAATGTATAGATGTAATCGCTGACATTCGAGGAAGACAGCTGCGGGTGTTGACCGTCGCGGCAAAAAGGAGGTACTGAATATGAAGATTTCTTGTTCTTTTTCTTACGCGTCAAAACCTCAATCATTCATTGGTCAATTAGATCTGATAATCATGCCATCGCCTTTTCATGGAAAGAAATCTCAATGCTGAAGAGAAAAAGATCGAAACAAGCACTTGTCCCGCTAGTCTTCTACCCTTACTCTCAGCCGCTTTTTACCACCTTTTGCACAAAAAACACTTCCAACGCTTTACACATACACTTTTGCCAAGCTCCTAACACTTATTTCCACAATGTCTTCCAAAGCTATTTCCGCTGCTCAGAATAAGAGCAAAAGTCACGCTATTCAGGAGAAGGGTGTAAACCATGCCACTCTTGATTATTCGCTAACCAGCGGTGGGGAGAGTAATGGAAGTGAGGAGGAACGTGGACGTAAGAGGGGTCTCAAGCTCAGGAGGGATCCCATACTCAGTTTGGGTCCTTATGTTGATCCTGCCTATGAGCAGTTCAATCGACACTGCCGTATGCTAGAGAAGGAGCTAGGGAATATATCTCGATCCTCTTCTTTGGAGATCGGTCCTTCCGCTCACACCATTTCTTCCAGTGCCACCGACACTGTGCTCGGTCGAAGGAGCCGAGGCGAGAGCAATGATGAAGAGGTTGAACCTTCGAGGCGTCGTCAGCGCATTAGCAAGACGATGCAGGAACACCTTGAGGACACTGTCGAGGCCCTCTGCGAGCGGGTGAAAGATGGTGCGCATGAAGCATACCATCAATTCGCTATGCGGTTTGATAGGGATGTCCGAGTTTACGGGGTTCGTGGCGATAACGACATGGTCATCTCGATGCTCCAGGCAACCATGAACGACCATACATTGCACACCATGGTGCCAATGCTACAAAATTATAAAAAACAATACGTCACATCATTCACCCACATATCAGACTTCATAAAAATTTTGGGTGATCTACAGAGTCCACGAAACCTAATAACACCGGTGTCCTCTGATGCCATCGAGGATATACCTCGTCAGTCCGGTTCCATGCGGTATACTCGAAATAAGCAAAGAGATAGCCCCATGAGCAAACCCGCCCCTGGTGAAGAGTCAAACAACAAACGATTCTTTGATTGTCAGCAGTGCGGAAGAAACACTACACACAACACAGAAGTTCATAAGCAATGCTTCAAATGCAAAATGAGAGGCCATGTAGCCTCAGAATGCACACGAAAAACTGGTGAATACCTTACTCAGCCTGCAATCAGCTCGTTGACAATTAAACCTCTAGCTTACATAATGTATCATGTTGTTCCTTCTCTTCATAGACAACATTGGAAACCGCACACACACAAGGCCATAATCCCTCTACGATGAAAAACAAGGATCATGACAATATTCAAGAATATGCCTAAACCATTCAATATGCAAGCGAAATTGCTAGAACATGGCTTTGAACGACACAGCATTTCGCCCAATTTTTCAGAGCATTCCTTGCAGCAGGACGTAAGCTAACATAAATAGGCTCTCTTTCATATCTGGTTGTGGAGCATTAGTTCCTCGAATAAAGCACCTTTACCTTACCCTTAGATCCTCCAGATAATCCCCCAGAATACTACCTTGACTTTCGCACAATAAATTGTTTACTTTATCTGAATGCATAAATATTTACACCAAACCGTCATGTTCTCCCAAGATGCTTATTGATACTCAATCAAGGATTGCTATGGAAACAATAATAGACGCAAATGAGCTACTATTGCGTGATCAATGCATCACCGCTATATTAGAGTCTGCGCCAGTCATTGTACCTTATCGTATCACAATTTCATCTTTATCAATGTCGAATGCTACTCTTAATAATGATGTCCATACATTAGCCAGACCTCATCTCAATCATGGAAAGACTAACAAAAGGATCGTTGTTTATGTCAATTTTGAAGGATACAGGAGCCAGTGTCGCCTGCATCCGTAAAAATATTGCTCGTAAGCATAATAAATGTATTACTTCTGTACAAGGCGTCATTACTCTAGCTGAAGCCTAACTGTCCCCTGTATAGGCTTAGTTGAAAATGTAGAACTCGCCTGGGGTAATAGAGTAGTATCCGTGACAATTGAAGTTATCAATAGATCGTACTCTTCCATTACAGGCATGGATCTATTCTACCAACTTGGATTCGGGCTTTCTGGATGTCATAGCCACTTATTTGTGGAGTAGACATTTTGATCTGTACACAGATCATCGTGCATTAATGTCTATTCATTCTTAATCAGATATGAATGCCATGATGACAAACTGACAAGATCTAATCTTACGTTATTAATTTACAGTACACTACCGGGCAGGGGCACTCAAAATGTATTGCCCGATGCCTTGTCTCGATCATTCCTACACGCATGACTAAGCGTTGTATACGCATCATGAACCTATACTAGCATAAATTCATGCTATACAAAATTCTGATAAACAAAGAGAACTTGTACCTAAAGAAAAACGACAAGATACCATGTATTGCGTTCGTAAAATGGGCCATATCATTACTAACGCTATGGTAAAATCTATCCACGCTGAAGACAAAACCTGGCAAAAGATTGCACCGATTATATTAAAAGATGTCATGCATGCCAACGGATGAATATTGCTAGAAAAGGATATTATCCACTAAAAGCTATTCATGCGCAATTACCAGGTGAACATGCGATAGACATAACTGACTATTCACAGTCTCTGAATAAAGCAACTCTTATTTGCTGATTATCGTTGGTGCTTACACTCGTTTTGTATTGCTTGGTGCCATACTTGATAAGCCCACTCTTACAGTTGCAACTGTGCTGTTTAAGCAATTTTCAGACATTGAATTTCCACGGGTCATTCAATCCGATAATGGTAAAGAATTTGTCAATCAGTTAGTGGAAGCTATGGCCTCACTAATATTTATCGCTCGCCGTTTAATCACTCCATACCACCCGCGAGGTAATGGTGTTGTTGAGAACCACGTAAAAACTATTTGTCAAATGAACAGAAAACAAATCAGGCATGATAGTAAACACTGATAATCACGTTCCATTTGTTCAACTAAGTGTCAATACTCGAATTGTGAGCCCTCATAACTCCTCATCCTTTTCTTTATTTTTTGCACGAGAAGCAAATGGCTTCAGGTTAGCAGAGGGCCTTGATATCTTGATAGCCGTCCGTGTAGTTATTTATTTTATCTCCTTTGCCTTAATCTTAGGCATGCCTGTGCCACGTTAATTGACTCCATTTACTTCGGCATGAGCTTAGCTAAGGCAGCTTGTAGCTGTATGATGAAGGATGTCAAGGAGAAAGGCCACTCTCTGTTGAATTTATTTTTGTTTAAAAATAAAAATGAAATAAAGTCTTTTATGGTTTATATGATCCCTCACCAGTTAGTAAGTCTGCCACGAGGCAGACCGAGATTTACTGATGGCCGTGATCTGGTGTTGTTGATAAAGCAGTCTCTGGCCAGGCCTAGTGAACTGGTAGGCAGGGCAGTGTGAGCAGTAAATTCGATAGGATCAAAGATCGTCAGGGCTTCCAGAGGTTGCGAGGGAGGTCCACGTGATTCGTATGGCAATTTTTTAGAATACAACGACTCAATCAAGCCTATATGAGCCAATCATTTTATATCAACTATCACTTGTAACAGACTAGACAACGCGGCATTGCTTTGATTACCGCAGTAGAAAGACAATTTTCAAACAGCATCTTGCATCATCAGCATCCATCATGGTTGACACGGAGACAATTAATGAAAATGAGCGCTGGGCTGGGGTTTACAAGCTTCTTGATAGGAATAGTCTGATTCACCCTGAATTTGAGCCTCAGGAAGAGGTAAATTGCTATTGCCACTAAGTTTTCATGGACACTTGCTCATGCAAAAAAAGGACCCATGTGAGGTTAAACATCATTCTTTCTACTTTTGCCTCACTGACTTTTTCTCTATGCCTGTACTATATTTCCATGATAGATTAAGGAATTCATCAAAAGCTGCAAGATTCTGGTTATTGGTGCTGGAGGCCTTGGTTGTGAAATCCTGAAGAACCTGGCTCTATCTGGATTCTGTGATATTCATGTCATTGATATGGACACAATCGATGTCTCAAACTTGAATCGCCAGTTTCTCTTTCGGTAAAACATAAGCCTGATATATATTCCTGACTTCAACACTCCGACATGTCAATATGTCAACAACATTAATACCTCGTCTTTTTTTTTTTTAGACGCGCAGATGTGGGGAAGCCCAAAGCTGTTACAGCAGCTGCCTTTGTTAATAAACGAGTTCAGGGTGTAACTGTCACACCGTAAGGTTTTGTATTGGGCTTGTATTAAGAGTCTCATCGCCACAAAAAAAAAGAAAGCATTTACATTTGTGAGCTATATTCTTATCTGTCTAATACGATCCTGCACTGGGGTATCACGGTTTTAGTCATTACTGCAAAATTCAAGACAAGGACGAGAATTTTTACCAAGAGTTTGCTCTCATTATTTGTGGCCTTGATTCTATTGAAGCCAGGCGCTGGATCAATGCGACACTTGTGGGCATGCGTGATGAAGATGACCCAGACACAATCAAGCCGTTGATTGATGGCGGAACGGAAGGATTTAAGGGTCAAGCCCGTGTTATTCTCCCTGGGATTACTTCTTGTTACGAATGTTCCATGGACATGCTGAGCAAGCCCACAGGCTTCCCTCTTTGTACCATCGCCAATACACCTCGCCTGCCAGAACATTGTATCGAGTGGGCATCTGTTCTGGAGTGGCCAAACAAGCATGGAGGTAGAAGGACCTGCTTTCCATCAAACTGATCATGGCTTTATGGCAAATGGCAGATGTTCCTAATTGATTTCGTATTTGCTATTATCATCTCATATATATAGACCGTAAGATGGACACGGACGACCCAAAGGATATCCAATGGTTGTATGAAACAGCTCTTGCGCGTGCGAAGCAGTATAATATCCAGGGCGTCACATATAGCTTGACGCAGGGTGTGGTCAAGAACATTATTCCGGCTATTGCCGCAACCAACGCCATTATTGCTGGTATAAAAGTTGATTGCTTATACATGTCAAAGGATTATATTTATGGAAGCCTTGTCTTAAAACACAATATATTTTTGACAATATCATAGCATCATGCTGCAACGAAGCTCTCAAGATTGCGACAACTTGTGCAAAGAATTTGAACAATTACATGATGTACAGTGGAAATGATAGCGTTTATACTTATACCTTCGAGCACCAGCGTAAGGAGGACTGTCCTGTGTGCAGTAATTCTGCTACAAAACTCGACTTCAAAGGCGACAAGACCCTGGAGGAATTCATGGATTATCTTAAGGAGAAGCCAGACATGTAAGCTCCTCTTTTTTTTTTTTTTTTTTTTTTTTTTTTGTTTTCGGATCATTTTATTGTAATTCATATCAATGAAAAGGAAAAAAAAAATGCTTTAACCTTTTCTTTGTCGTTCTCACGCGTTTCGGGATTTCCTTATAGACAACTGAAAAAACCAAGCTTCACACTTGGAGGCAAACTTTTGTATATGCAAGCGCCTAAGCAATTGGAAGAGACAACACGACCTAATCTCGCCAAACCTCTCAAGGAACTATTTGCTAGTGGAGACGAAATCACCATTACAGACGCAACTCTTCCTTTCAGTCTGCAAGCCATTGTCTCATTCTTGTAAAAAAAAAAAGGATATTGCAGTCAGTCTAAATAAGTAGAAAAATAAAACATGTAAAGCGCATTTACTGCTCCTTAGAAGGAAAGCAAATGCAAACGCACAAACAGTAATAATATGTCTTGTACTACCATCAATCCCAAATATATCATATGCTTCGGCTGCCACTTTTGTATTTCCTGGCCTACATGCTTTTCAATCCTGTTCCATGTAACTCTTTCTCCATTGCTTTCCATCACCCATCCTACCTCAATTGACAACACATGCAGCAGGAAAACATTCAATGCATCAACATCTAACTGACGACCAACTGCACCCTCTAATTTATAGTCCCTCGGTACATAATGGTGCCTCTTCCTCTTTCGATTTACAAGTGAACGGCGGTAACTCTGGTACTAATTCTGGTTCTGCCGCTGATACGGGTTCTAATCTCGACTTCAATGCTCAGTATCATGATAATGGCCCAACCCTCGAACCCCCACCACCTTATGAACAGTCCTTATCAACAGCCCACGCGCCACTATCCCTGCCAAATCCTACATCTTCTAATCCGTACTTGCGCAATAATAGCCGAACACCAACGGCTCCTCCGCAGGAATTGCAGCATCATGGCCACATCTTTGAACCCACAGCAGCGTCTCAATATCCTCCCTCAGCCCCACCATTGACACTGATAGCTGCCACTTCTGGACGACCAGGACCCACTCATTCTGGAGAGACGATGAGCCTTATCAATGACACAACAGATGATCAACTATCAAACACATTCACCTCTACATTGCCTGTATCGCAGGGCAAAGGACCCGCTCATCGCCGACTCGCACGAGATCTCATTGAGAATGGAGAAGATACGGCTTCAAGGGGACAAACAGCTACATCTACCTCCTCCACGCACTCGGTTTCTTCATCTCTCCATCATCAACATCAGGTACGCAGCCGCTTCGGAGTTCAAAGTGCATCCACACAAGATCTGAGGATCACCAAGCGCCTAGAGCATAAACAGGAGACCGTTAGACACACAGCCTCTGCGCCTGAATTATATCAACAGCGTCCATTATCTTCACAGATGCCATCAGCTATGTTACCCATTATTCCTTTATCGCAGTCTGTAATCCCAGCACCTCCACCTAGATTGCTGCAATTTCGTTCTAGAGACCCAAGTACAGTCCCAGCATGTCCTTTCCTCCTCTGCCAAAAGCCGATTGCGTATACAAAGACGCGTCGAGAGCGTGGCGTAACTGTCTGGATCGTTTGCGGCCTGCTCTTCCTTTGTAATACATATTGGACTACTCAAGTGATTTTGTCCCAATTCTCTGGCTCCACTCAGGGTCGAGTCTTATCTGAGGAAACACTTGCAGCATCTTCAGCTTCGGGTTTCTCGGCCCGCAAAGAGGCGACTCATTGGCTGAAAGGATTCTTGGGCATGAAGACTTATCGGTACAAGGATCCGATACTCAGAAGCCAGCAGCGACATGTTTGGGGAGTGAGGCGGCCCACTGTTGCTACAATGGGTGTTGTGCAGGACGAGCAGAGTTTATTAGGGATGATTTTTAATTTTTCAATGATGGCATTGATGGCGATTATACGATGGTGGCTCTGCCTAGCGCCGCTACTTTTCCGACCTCTGTTTGACACTGTTCACAGCTGTCCACACCCACATCCATACCCATATCCTGAAGAGATCGAGGAAGAACGGCGCCAACTTGAAGAAGCGGAGGATAGTTTAGTTGTCGCTCCACTGGAACACCGGCAATCACAGTCAAGCTTTCAACCCTCTGAGCGGCCCCCTGGAGATGGAAATAGTCAAGCTCACGAGAAAGCAGAGCCACTTGGTCGACAGCAACCACATGGAGTGGGCGATTTTGTCTCAACATCAACATCAGAGTCAGCAACACTTCCCATATCTGTAGATCAACTATTTTTAGAAGGAACACAGGGTCGTCAAGAGGATAAGCAACCAAATCAACAGGATATGTCAGCTAAAATGACACAAGCTGAAGCCAAGACTAGGACGAAGACCAAGTCTAAGAAGAATAAATTGTCTTGGTGGAAGAAACGAGCAATTAGGAAGGCACAAGAGCGTCGACAACGTATCATCAAGGAGTCACAGGACATTGGTCGGTACAGCCTTCTGTACGAGCTTGGAGCATTTTTGATGATGGACAAGTGGAAGCATATAGTGTTTTCTTCAGACAATGTCGTTCCTGATTCAGATGAGGATTAAATCCCCTTTTCATTTCCCTTTCCTTTTTTTTTTTTTTTTATTTTTATTTTTTATTTTTATTTATCCTGGCTGGGTTGAGCACTAATTAGCTAATGTAGAGCTCTTAGCAAGCCAATAAATATTAATATCCAACATATATGATAATTTGTTGTTGAGCGGGTTTCTGAACGAATAGGCATGGGTCAAGGCAATAACTGTAGTAATTATCGTCCCTACTCGTCAATCCTTCCTCCTTGTTATACTCCTTAAACTCTTCTTTTCATTGCTCTCGATCAGCTGCTATCCGATCAAAATCAGAATCATATTAATGCTGTATATGTAATAGCCTTATGGCACATAAACGAAGAAAGAGGGAGCGTACGGTCATCCTAGTTCGTCATAGTATCATACCAGGCCTTTGACTGCACGTGCACTCGCATTCATTCTTAAACAAATATCCGATAGAGCGTCAACTTACAGCGATTGAAAAGCCGACTATTATTGAGAAACTGACCCCTCCAGTGATAAAGAAACGTGCGATGACAAAGAAAGGTTAGTTACTTAAGATGGGAAGGCCATAGGGTGAGGAACTTGGATAGTAAGGGAAGCGGATCAAAAAAAGACGACAGGTACATATTTGACTGTTGATGACCGGTATGTCATTTGATTAATGCAGTGATTGTACAGATCCGTAGCTGTACGATAGTGCATAATAGAGATAATAAAGTACTCGCGGCAGAGATGATGCCACACCGTAGAGTTTTAAGCGAGCCATCGAGTAAGACAGCATTGAGTTTTAGTAAGGCTATGAAGGAGGCAAGAACGAAAGTGAGGAAAAAAAAAAAAAAAAAAGCAAGTTCATACAGATACGCAGAAAGTGTTTATTCACTTTCGTCAATAAAAGGGCAAAACACATCAGCATGTCCGACTGTAGGGTATTATGGGTTGATTATGATCGTTTTGCCATTAGTCTATTAATCTACTTTTTTCTGAATACTATACCACGACGGAGTACTCCAGAGACTTTAGGTCGATATCCACAATCCTCCACGTGTTTAAAAAAAGAAAAAAAGCAAGCAAAATTGTGGAAATTGTGGAAATTGGTCATGATATTGCTTTTCTCTAACGGCTTTTCCTCCAAGGCAGTGTTTTACTTGAGTGCCAAGCAAGATTTGCCCAGTATTTAATGACAGTACGGGTGATCATTAAATGAATGATCGTTTCCCATTCAATGGGATTTCACATGATCATTTTTAAATGATCACTCAGGCGACTCGACAACCGGGACTCGTTTGAGAGCGGAACTGCAGCAACGGTCATTATCATTTAGCGTTGCTGTAGAAGAAGAGCGAAACAATGATCTCGCTCACCCGCCTCGTGTGAAGGAGCTATCACCTACGCCAGCGAACGAAAAGCACCATCGAGAGACAATGGTGCTCCGTTCTACAGCGAAAGCTTGCACGTTTACAAATATTATATCGATGTTTGTCCCTTCAAAATCGGAAGTCGATACTTCCGATTAAAAGACTCTTCTATTGCCACCAATGCACATCAACCAAGCCATGGTTGATGGAAATAAGGAGGTCCTGGAGACTATTATGGAACATGCACTAGCTCTGACCACAGCAACCACACAGCATTCGAGACTTTATTCGAAAAGGTTTGCAAGGTCTGGTGAAGACGAGAATAGAGGGCTGTATAATTCATATGGATGGAGCTTCATAGTCCTGATAGGAGGCTAAACTCATGTATTCTTGTGGAAAAAATAAAGTTGCTTGGAACTCCACCATATCACTACGAACTGCGCCCAATCGAGATAATGGGGTGTGGTCAAGAATATGGTAGTCTATAACGCCAGAAGATCGATGAGTGCTGATGAACTCATGAGGATACCGACAGGATCGACGTAGCTGTGCCGGCATCTTAGTTCGCTACGTGTTTTGCTTGAGCCCACCGATGACGGAGATGATACCTGAAGTATTCTAAGAGTCGAGGGAGATCAAAAGTTGTTTTTATTATTGTTAGGCAGGTGCCTTATATTAAGCTCCGTGGTGAGCGTCATCAAATATTCTGATCTTATGAATAAAGAATATATGCGCCCTTTTGGGTGCATTTCCAATTAACAATATCGACGATGATGACTATCTCATACATTTTTAAATCCTAATTACTCCAGTTATAAGTTGCATGGATATGGATGTACAGAGAACCCGGTCTTTCGTGGTAATACATTTGCAAAAGGCATTGGGGGTAAGACTGAGATCTTTTGACGGAAGGGTCAAAGTGTTGCAAGCCAGTAACACATCTCTTCCTCAAAAACAAGTCTCGCTTGCCGATACTGCAGCGGAATCTGTAACGGATCCATGCACAAGAGATCTTGTTTATCAAATGGGATGACAACATCCCTATCCATAGCTTGTTAATCAATACTTTTTCATTAGCTTTCTGTTATTCTTTTTTTTTTTTTTTTTTTTTTTTTTTTTTTATTTTTTTTTCTTATTGATCCGCGTGACCTTTATGGTCTTTGTTACCATCAGGTCAAGTGAGGTGCTGATTGAATAGAGTAGACACCAAGCTTTTTCTTTTTCTTTTTCTTTTTCTTATTATTTTATATTTTATTAATATTATTTTTTGGACGCCAAATTCGAAGTCATTCCTTGTACCAAGAAGTGTGCAGGGCTTGGACTAATGCTCATGGCCATGATAGAATTTTTCATCGTTGCCTCATCTTCCTCGTCTTCGTCTTCTTCTTCCTCAATATCCTCTCGAGGGCTGTGGCGTCCAACAAAATTTAATTCATCCTCTTCTTCTTCTCCTTCCTCCTCTTCCTCCTCTTCCTCCTCTTCTTCATCATCATCATCTTCATCATCCTCCCACTCCTGATAAATACCGTTCATAAATGTTGCACTCTGACGCAGGCGATATGGATCAAATGGGAAAAATGTCTCCAGTTCCTGAGGAAGTATGCCTCCATTCACCTGCCCATTCGCATTGGCTCCATTGCTATCACTTCCTGGAATCGATGCTGGACTATATCTGCGGTGAATAAAGGTTTTCTTATTTTGTTCAAGAATAGGATAAACATACATAAAATCAAGATTGTTGGAAATCCTTGCGAATTGCTTCACAACATTGCCAGAGCAGATCTATTTTTTTTTTTTTTTTTTTTTTTTTATAAAAAAAAGTGCCATGGATTAGTAGAAAGGCAAATCAAAACAGATCGATATCTGATAAAAAAGTGAATACATTTTTATACTCGGGGGAGGGGGTTTAATACCTTTAAAGGATTCAGCCGACTTGTAATGATTCTTTGTAGGGACGCTAATCCAGAGTGCCACTGACGCGTCGCCGACAACTCTGAATTTGGTCCGGGGGCACCATCCATGCTACCAACAATCATCCCCGCGCTATCGAAATCATCCCTGTTGTTCAGCTGCTTTGACCCTCCAATGACCAAAACCTTCCATCGGAAGCAGAAAATATACATCAAGGCCTGGACAACGGCATAGAACACCGCATGACGCTCTGGATCAGGAACAACATTCGATCCAGTGTCCACTTCCTCTATTGTCCCAAGAGCAAACCCACCCAACATGTCAACCACCATCCCAACCTGCCGTAAATCCAAATATTTTGCTCTAGCTACAAATGACGACATGTACGCTGCAGCAGCAACACGTATCACTTGCGGTTGAGACTTGTCCAAAATTTGTTGTCCGAGTGCGCCCAGGAAATAATCAGAGAACTGAGGCGAGAGCGAAATACAATAAAAGAGTAAAAATTGCGTATGCCTCGATTTGAATGTCTGAAGGATCGTCTTCATAAAGATTGACAGAAGAACCAAAAACAGTTCTTGAATCGGTAATGGTACTTCTCCATTCATAGCCGTGAGATCTTGACAACTATTGACATATTGCTCAAGATAGGAGAAAACCAAGAAGAGCATTCCATCTAGCTTTTGGGTCATATCCTTGATATTGAGTACTGCTACTTCTGCTCCAGATTCAGAGTCTGAATCCGATCCACTATCTGACCCTGAATCATCATCGTCATCATCGCTCTCTTCTTCATCCTCGTTGGCTTTATCATTCATATCGAAGTCGTAAACCACCTCCGTATCTGAATCCTCCAATTCCTCCAACTCGACTTGAATCTCCACCTACAAAAAAAATAAAAAGCAAATGCAGTCGTGGAAATGTATCTTGTTAGATATTGGTTACATTCGCATTAAGAATTATCTGTAAGCAAATCTACAAAATGCTGGATGAAACAAAAGCAAAAAATAAAAAGATGCTTACATCTACTTGGATTATTCGATCAATGACTACGCCTAAAACCTGAGTCCGAAGAACCGGTGCGTATTCAAGCACTTTGAGAATATTCTTGACATATGTCACATGAGCATTGATGGATTCGCGCTTATGAGGAAACTCGGCCGCGAGAAGAGGAAAGAGGGTCGTGGAGCCAGTGGGTATAAGATTGAGAATGTACTTCAGTGCTTGATGAACTCGATCGTATTGACGCTCACGTGAAATATCCAGTGTATTGTCAGAGGGCGAAACCTTGTAACCTGTCAATTTTTTAATGAAACGGAACAACTTTCTTTAGAGGACGAGGGAGACGGAGGAGCTGAGGTAACATGTAGGTTGTCAAACAAAGATAGCAAGAGGCTAACACGTTCATATAAACTGTCATATAAAACGTACGAGTAGTAAGCCTTTTCACCAACATAGATTGCACCGGGACCACGTAAACCGCATGGGCCGATACAGCATTGCCCAGGAAAGAGAGGTAATGCTGAACAAAGTTGTCATCTTGTACTATCCAATCAATTTGCAACATGGCATCAATCAATGAAATACATGACTTGTCCAGCAATGAAATGCACTGTGACATCGCTTGAATCCATTGTAGAAGCTTTGCTGGAGTACGTGGCACCGGTTTAGATACTGTAAGCTGGGCAATGAGTTCCTCATAAGGAATAGGGTTTCCCTGTAAAAAAAAAAAAAAAAAAAAGGACAAGAACGCTATTAGATAGCTGACAATGGAGTGAACACAGCGAAAGATCAAGGTCACAAAAATAAAATAATAGTAATAATAAATATAACAGCAACAACAACAGAGCTCCATCTATGTCTGCAACGAACAAATAACTCTGTATTATCCTCAAAGGGACTTTGAGCATGCTGTAGTGTCTCACATACTACGGATCGAGAATATAGAGGGTTTCTATGCCATTGGAATTCAATTGAGCAGTGCTCAGCTCTATAGCAGAGAACAAGAGACCAGAAGAGCACGAGCAAAAAAGGCACATACAGAAGAAAGGAATGTATTCATATATGATTTTTTTTGTTTTGTTTTGTTTTTTTTTTTCTTTCTTTTTCAAAGTAATAATAATAAAAAAGAGTACAATTGGTGGCAAAATACATCCATTGCATTTGACACACTATTTATTCTACGTACTTGTTTCTTTTCCCGAATAGAGCTGCTGATATAGGCCGTCATCATCACCTGACTCTGGCGTTGTCGTTCAAAGTCAGCAACTTGTTCAGTTGTAACCATGGAGGCCGAGGCCGCCACAGGCGTTGAAATGGATCTCTGCATGGGTGGATTAGTATTCACGTGAACATCCGATCCGCTAGAACGTTTATGGTGTTTCGGCCTTGTTGGTGATGAGGTAATATCAGCAGGAATAGTTGAAACAAGAGTAGGGGCAAATGCAACCTTGGACGGTGCAACGGTGGTCGAAAGGGAATTTGAGACGGGCATGTGAGCGGACAAAGAAAAAATTGTTGTTCTTATGAGCGAAAGAGAGGACAGGGTGGCGGGGTCGTTGATAACTGCGGCTCAAGTTGTGTAAATGCGATTGCGAATAGGCAAGGATAAACAAGGGAGGAAGAGAGGGATGCCGCAGTGAATGGAATAAAAGGGAGACTAAGCTGGCGCAGAAGAACAATTTATGAAAGTGTTGTTTGAGCATTAAAAAAAAAAAAAAAAAGCGTGGCTTAGCTAAAACAGTCGTCCTTAATGGAAAACATCCAAATTTGTGCACGGACCAAGATCAAAATACCCTTAATGTCAATTGTTCCATTTGGCGTTTTAGTTCGGAGGGGAGGTCATCTTTTTTTCTTTTCGCGACATCAAACAAAAACGCATTCAATTACTCTCTATAAAAACACAGATCTTAAACACCGATCCAGTCATCATGTTGCAACAACAACCTCCACGTCCGCTTATTGCTGAAATTGAGCAGCTTAAACGTTCTGTTGATGTATGAACCCTACGAAAAAAAAAATAGAAAAATAGAAGCCTCCATCACCACTATCACAACGATAGCAATGAGAACAACATGAGCACTTTTATCGTGACCTTTTGACCTTTTGACCTTTTGACCTTTCGACCTTTTTTTTTTGTTACACCTGTTTATCTATAGAGCATAAATTTACAAACCGCAGAGATGCTCAAGAATCTAGAAAACTTGCGACATATGTGAGTGAACCTAGACTTTTTTTTTTTTTTTTTTTTTTTTATATTAAAAAAATGGCTGCACATACCCATTCCTTACCCATTCCTTACCCTTATTATAACACAATTTGATTAGTGGTGCAGACCACATAGCTCTTCCATCAACACAGCAAGAAAAACTCGATCTAGAATGGGAGTATTTTGAGACCGTATGCGACCAAGTTTTCTTTATCCTAGTATGTTTAATTATCACTGTGTTGGGACCGAACGATTTTATTCTCTCTCTCTTTCCTTTGACTAACTTTCATACTCCTCCTCCTTCTCCTCCTCCTCCTTTAATGTATCTAAAGGAAAATGCTAAATACAAACTTCGACGACAGCAGGACGCTCTTTCTTTACAACTGAACCCACCACTATCAGCACCAGCACCAGCACCAGTAACAGCACCATTACCTCCTTCTCTTCCACTCCAGGAAACGCCCGCTGCTCCAAATTTTACGGATCCATCGATCACTACTCTAGAAATCAATCCCTCGACATCAACAACAGTTACTTCAGCCCCTATTACAACAACAACTACTACCATCACTGCTACCAACACTAATGCTAATGCTAATGCTAATGCTAATGCTAATGCTAATGCTAATATCACCACTAACACTAACGCCGACACTACATCGACCACAGTCCAATCTAGTACATCGCCATTTATTGCAGCTATACAACAACAGCCACTTGACTTGGAAATGTTGAGTCCACCCAATATGTTTGATATTAATGCAAACACAAACAGAATATCTACAGCACCACTCTTGTCCTCTACCCCTATTGTAAACGAATCAGACAGGTCTATTATGGATGACGATGTATTAGCTTCACAAGAAAATAAGCTACAGGACACTATGCTTGACTTGGGGGACATTGGTAGCCTGGGTGACAATTTAGGAGATATGGATGACATGATCAACTTTTGAAGTTTTCTCATCGTTAAATGGATCCATCATTATATGCTTTTTATAAATTATTATCGGTTATTCAAGATTTTGTCAAGGAAGCGAGCGTGTGCTCCACTTAGAGCTTTTATTCATTTATTTCTTTCTTACAAAAGTCTTGGATTCTGCTGAACCGATTGAGGAGCATAATGAAACGCTTCAAAATTCATATTTCCATTCGATTGATGAAGTTTTGGATACCGAGAATACGCCAACGCATTATTGAGTGCTATAATGCCAGGCGACAAAGGCTGATGATGATTCTCAGCTCCAGTAATAGGTTCTGTTGCATTATGATCGATATCTGTATTTGCTTTCATTGGCTCTGCAATGGTTGTTGCAGGCACAAGACCACTCCTAGAGGCATTAGCATCCCTCACATTGTTCGTGGATGAGGTAATGGAGGACGACGCTGGTCCAGCAGCTAATGACATGTGTGAGAAGGAAGCGAACTCTGAATGCGGGTTCGATGTTCCGTATGGGCTAATAGCATAAGTAGACGATGGCATGTCATAGGGCTCATTATGCAGCCGAGTGTTTGAATGGTCAATAGACTCTCCGCCAGTGTACCATAATGCATCGCCAATATTACCATCTTCACGATCATTAACTTGCGCGGAAGTAGGTTTCAGTTGGACGAAATTCCCATTGATCATACTATCACGGGCGCTAGGGTTTGAACCTGAGACAAAATTGGACAATAAGGAGTGATTTGCGCTTGGCGAACTGAGAAGGTGCCCTACAAATGGTTGCATATGAGCATCCTGGTTGATAGGGGCTGTCATTAAAGAAGCGCCTGACTGTTGCGTTTGATATAAAAGTTTGTCAAACTCATATTGGTGATTTGGATTCCATTGATGATATTCACCGTTGATTGCCTTCCTCATGGTTAAAGGACTACCTTTCTGAGATGGCGAGGAAGACCATGACTGGCTTAAAGCGGAAATATCTTGGGTAAACGAGCCATATCCCCACAGACTCGCCATTGGGTTACGACTGGCAGATCCTGAATGACTCCTTCCTTCACCAACGGCTATCGAAGGCCGTCCAGTATTCTTTGCTAACGAGCCATTTGGTTCCGCAACTGAGAGCTCTGCAAAGGTATCCTGAAGCTCGTCGGGTTCTAAAGCCCCTGTCATTGCCAGCACATCTTTAATCATGCCTTCGTTAACGTCACCAACATCCATATCCATATCCATCTGACTGTGTAAGAGCATGTCATTCATACTTGCTGCTAACAAAGCATGCGACGGGGATCCGATACCCAGAGTAACAGCAATTTGTGAGGGAGAGGCGAGAGCATGCGAGCTGATATCAGTCACGAAATTAGTTCCGGGTTGAATATTTGATCCCCAAAAAGCATCCTGCACCCTGGACAAGTCCTGATGAGATCCGGACTGAGTATCCATTGCAACCGGTGTGATGATAGAGCTATTTGAATGCGATCCCCAAGATTCTTTTGTCTCTAAAAATCCAGGGTCGCCAAAACCCGTAACGGTCATAGATACATGATGAGTACTCTCAAGTGAAGAGATTGTATTGGTTATTGGGTCAACGTCGGGCTGTAATGGTAATGATGCAGCACTTATCCTTTGAGCGTCAAAATTGTCATGAGGAGTATTAGCCACGTGTGCAGTGGTCGTTGATGATGTCGTGGGTAGGTTTTGAGAAGATGTAGATTTATATGAGTATGGTGCTCTTATGGGCGGTGTTGGTGGAACGGTGCGTGGAGTTAAGAAAGGCATCACTTCAGCTAGCTTTGTATGGTCGATGGGAGTCTGTGGTGGTAAAAGTGAGTCCTTGTTGAGTTGAGAGTCCTTGATAGAATCCTTGGCTGTCGCTGTAGCATGTGTCGAGGGTCGTTGCAGAACTTGCGTTGGTACTGATCTCATTGGGACATATGAAACTGCAGCTGGACGTTGGAGAATCTGGACTGGGTGTGTTACAGATGTTTTGGGTGTTTGAGCGCTGCTGGAGTTTTGTTTAGTGGCTCCTGTTGGAGCATCTGACAAAGTCTGTCGTGACGCTGATGATTTGGACATTGATGGAGTTGATTGAGACTGGGCAGGTTGGGTAGGCTGAACATTCGATGTTTTAGTCGTAGTTGTAGCCTTCGGTAGCTCTTGTTTTTTCGTCGATGGCGTTACACTAGCTGGCTCTGATGTCTTTGCAGCTGCTTTCTTTGCAGCCAATTCTGCGGCCGCTCTTTCATTTTCATCCTCTGAATCATCTGCAAGCGGCGCGCCACTTGTCAGCAACTCGATAGCCTCTTCGAATTTTCCTTCTGTTTGAATTAGAGCCTTCCTTGAATCGCGTACTGGGAAGCCCATGTCTGCCATCCTGGCAACCACCAATTGCGATGGTCGATAGCTCGTTTTAGCTTTTGGATGCTTTGAAGTTGATGTCTTAGTTGCGGGTGCCACCGTAGATGGTATGGTTACCCCTGATGCAGATGTGCTCGGAACAGCTCTTGGTGTAGCAGGAGCGGAAATAATTGTAGATGATGAAGGTTTTGATATCATCGGCGTGTTGGACATTGTCGGTGCTGGTGTTGGGGATTTAGCAAGAATAGATTGTTGGCTAGTTGCCTGGTTTAAGGGCGCCTTAAGCGGCGGTGAAAGCTGAGCGATTACAGGCGAGCTGATAGGTGAAAGTGAAGCAGATTTTGTAGAGACATTCTGAGCTGCCACTGAAAGTGCCTTGGTAGAGGATGTCTCCTTGGAGGTAGAAGCTCCTGTGTCGGCATTACCCTTGCCCTTTTTCTTTTTCTTCTTTTTACTACTTCCACTTGCATGATGGCCATGTGGGTCATTGGCCAATGCCTTTAGTCGTTCCAACTCCTTCTCTTCTTCTTCGCGCCTTCTCTGATCAGCTTCGAGTTTCTCCTCTTGTTTCCGACGAGCAACACGATCCTTCTCAGCTTCCTCTCTTGCTAACTCCTCATCTTTCTTCCGTTGCTCCTCCAGTAAGGCGTCCTTCTGTTTTTGAGCTTCTTTGATGGCGGCTAATGCCTTTTGAATGTGATGCAAGGTTGCGCGGTACTTTTGCGCTTTTGCCTTGGAGGATTTTTCGCGATCAAGTCCAGCTTTAGCAAGTGCCTCTGGCGTCTGTCCTTGAGCATCCGCGGATGTTACCCTTGCATTATGCTGTAAAAGTAGAGCTACCAATTCGCTATTTCCGTTCTGGGCTGCATAATGAATTGCTGCTTTTCCTGTGGGTGGACTAGTTCTGTCGATGTGATACGGCACTTTTTCCAATATAAATTTGCAGACAGCAAAAGAGGCCCCGTTTGAAGCTGCAGCAGCGTGAAGCGGCATTCGTCCTTCAGAGTCAAGGTCTTCGAGAGAAGCACCTACAGACAAGAAGCAATGAAGCGTCAATTATTCTGATAGCTCTATTGTACAGCATCATGACACAATAAGGACATACCTTTGTTGACAAAATATTCTACCAAATCAAGACATCCTACACGGGCTGCAGTATGTAGTAGAGTTTCTTGCATGCCGTTTGTTTTGATAGTACCAGAATTGGTACCAGATTCTGAAATGTCTTCCCATCCTGAAAGGCGCACAGCCGCTAGTGTGCTAAACCGAGGAAGTCCTGGTATTGCAGCAGACTCTTCAGGTGATGCTTCCACCATTCTCTTGACAAGATCAACTTGGGCCTTTGAAGTGATTGCAAATAGAAATGACCGCGCTCCCTGGTCGGTTTCGACTGTTGTAATGAGTATTGTTTAATCAACGGAAATTAAAATAAGCATTCAGGCCTCATCCATATGCGTTTTTTTTTTTTTTTTTTTTTTTTGAACCATCATCACTCTCAATGGCCAATCAACGATAATAAACGTCAACGGAGGGATGATTTGCTTACGGGCTTCTCGCTTTTTGCGCAATTCAAGTTCTGCCTGCTCTTTCCGCCGTTTTTCTTCCTGTTCCCGCTTTCGGCGTGCTTCATCCTCTAGTCGTAGTCTTTGAAGTAGCTGTATCCGCACTGAGATGAGTGATGGCAACAATACGTATATTATTGTCAGTAGCTATGACTATTTTTTCTCTTTTTTTTTTGTTACCGGTGTTGTTGCTTCTTGCTTCGTCTTTTTCAGAAATAAGAGTAGCTCCATTCAGATAACATTCTACTCCAAAGTTTCTCACCTTCTTCCTGTTTCCGTTTCTGGGCTTCATGAAGTTGCCTTTTTTTGAAGCATTCATTCAACAATTTTTTCTCGGTCCTGGCTTGGAAAATGGCTGCAGACAAGTTGCCTGCCCCATAATGATGTGAGTATCCGTCTAATACATCATTTCCAATATCATCCTCGTCTTCGTAGTCATCATCATCCTCGTCTAAACTATCTCCTTCTTCTTCCTCTTCATCGACGTCCTCATCATCATCATCGTCATCGTCATCGTCATCGTCATCATCATCAAAATCTTCATCGTCCAGATCCCGATCATCTTCGTCCTCATCGTCCTCAACATTGAAATCGTCTTCATCAGGTTCATCTTCATAACTATCATCAGGAAAGCCTAAAGAATTTTGATCCTTATGATCAAATCCACAGCCACATTGTTCATTTTGCCTAGTAGCTTGTTGTTGTTGATGTTGTTGTTGCTGCTGCTGGTGTTGCTGTTGACGTGGATGTCCCAATTGTTGCTCAAGCTTATCAGCGAGGCTGGCTGCAAAATTTGATACGATGAATGACTGGTCTGATAGAACCTCCCTAATTTTAGGTTCTGAAACGGGAACAAATGATGAAAATAGGGAAGGTCACTCAGTTCTATGGAAGTCCAATAACATTGTTTCATAGTGATTAATGACTTTCTTTTTTTTTTACCCTTTTTATCACGCTGTACTCTTGTGTAGAGCTCTATCAACGCTTCTGGGGATGGCCAGACAATATGTTCCTTGCCTGAGCTGAATACCAACTCCTTTGTATTGTTTTCATCCGCCGCAAATGTACCGTTTGCATGATTCGTTAGTGCTGTCGCAATTCTCTAAAGGGAAGTATAAAAAATCATGGGTTAATTAATATTAATACATGGCTGCAAAAAAAAAAAAAAAAAAAAAAAAAAAAGGTAATGGTGTAAAGCGGATAATATCGTTGTGTCCTGTCAAAGCATCCCTTTGTCTTTTATAATGTTATAGCCGCAATGGTATGGAGGGAAAAAAAAAAAAAAAAAAGAAAGTCAAGTCCAAGTACGTGCCTGAATACTTTAGTGGATTTCCTCTGTGATAATGGTAATAAAAAGCTTGCCAATTCCATATATCAATAAAGTCAATTCTCAAGTTAGCCCAAAGTCTTGATGTTGGTCGGTTTAAACGTCCATGGGATATATTATGTGGCTATTTAGCAAAGTGATTTGATCAATGTCCTGACTTCCGTGCTCCTTGTTCTACTCCTCCATACGATTCTCGTTGTATTTCTTTTTTTTTTTTTTTTTATTCCTGAGAGATCCATGATTATAATGTACAATTCCAGTTCTCAAAAAAAAAAAAAAAAAAAAAAAAAAGAATTCCAAGGGTCAACAGGACAGCGAATGGATCGAAAAAGTGAGGAAACATTGTTATACCTTGGCATATTCACGACAAAAAGCATGAATGGAATCGTCCTTGTCCTTTTGTGGGTCGTTTGATGAAAGGTTTTCTGTTGAAGGTGTGTTGTCTACTACTACAGAACCAGCTGCGGTTGTTGTGCTAGGTGGACCAGAAGGAGTGATCGCGGACATGACAGAAGTTGAGTTCCTCTGTGTTGACATGAGATCACGAATCTGCTTGTTTGAACGGCGAGAGTTTAAAAAAAAAAAAAAAAAAAATTGAAGCTTATAATGTATTCGCGATATTCGCGATAGAGGAAAGCTTCAAGTCAAAAATGCACCAGAGTCTCGAGGACTGAAAACAGAAGAAGCAGGTGAGAAAAAAATGTGAGTGTCAAATATAAAAAAAGATAATCATAAAAAAAAAAAAAAGGGCGAAGGGCTTTACTCCTTCTTCCACTTCTTCCAGGAACGTTCAGACATGACCCCTTAAACCAATCAATTGTTTGTTTAAAAAGAGTCCTGCGTTTATCCTTTCCTTGTAAAAATAAAAAGCCAGATCAATTGTTTATAAATATGTGCTGTGATGGTGTAACAAGAGAGGAATGAAGCTTACTGTTTATTTAAATAGTATACATCTACCAAGGCTTTTTTTTTTTTTTTTTATTTTTATTTTTATTTTTTATTTTTATTTTTTATTTTTAAAAAAAATACGGATCTACACACCTCAAGGATTGTGGTGATCTTTGTTTCTGCAAACGAAAGAAGAGATTGACTACATTTATTCGATAATTCTTGCTTTTGACAAATGATATACATTTATTATTCTAATACTGAGAGTGTTGTTACAATTGTTTTTGACATGCCTAACATGTTTACATATCTTTATCCTTTTTTTTTTTTTTTTTTTTTTTTCTTCTACTTTTTAAGTAGACATGATCATGTCGAAAGCAATCTTGCCAGTCAAACCCAAGAGTCCGAGGTCACCAATGTGACCAAAGGCACCCCACTGACGCTTGGCTGGATCGCCACTGGTGTATCCGTAGCTGTAGGCGACACGTCCGGCGCACCACACTAATCCCAATCCGGCAGAGGCAACAGGGTAACGAAGTCCAGCAATGAGGAGCGTCACCAAGTAAGAGCCGAAGCCCTCAAGTGTGTTCTGATGCACGCGCTGCTTGCAGTTAAAGATCTGCTTCTTCCTGTCCTTCTTGGCCTCCACCTCATCCGCATACATCTGAGGAAGAGGAACACCTGCAACCTTGCGGTATGCTCCGACCTTGAACCCAAAACCTGTGACTAGAACACTCGAAAGGACGGAGACGGCGAGAGTCTAATATAAGATATTCCCATGTCAACATAAAGAACATTTATGAAGATCATAAGATAGTATAAAGGCATATTAGCATTGATATTCCTATTTATCGCAAAGAGGATAATAAAGGCTTTGTGGAATTTTTCACATACATATCCGTATTCGGGAGCGATGACGAGAGTAACCATGATGTGTTGGATAGTTTTTTGTGTGTGTGGTTTCTTTGTGGTTGTAGTTGAAGGATTTTTTAAAAATGGAGGAGGGGGAGGAATGGGTTATTAAATACTTTTTTTTTTTTTTTTTTCTTTTCCGTCCAGATTCGATCCGATCTTAATGACAGGAAGGATACGTAGTTCAATGTACATGTACTGATCTTCCCATACAGAAACCGGATCTAAAAGAGGCATAGGATAGGCCCCAATTACCCAATAACAAAGCGACTAGTCATCTTTTAAACAACAAAGTTGGCTCTCTTAAAAAATTTTTTTTTGCTGACGAATTGTTCGTCAACTGCCAACGCGTCCTCTATTTTTCCATCGATCACTTTTTTTTTTTTTTTTTTTTTTTTTCGCCCAACTGGCTAACATAGTTTCATAAGCCACACTTAGTACAGTAGTTGGTCTGTTCCATCATATTTAAAAATAAACCAGATATTATTATTATTATTATTATTATTATTATTATTACATCTCTTGTAACTTTATTCATGGTATTGACAAGGAAGTATATCACAAAAAACTATTGAATCATTCAGATCATACTAAAAATTCTCGACTCTTCAGTGGAAAGTTCACGACGATCCAGTGTTCATCTTTTCATCATCAGAAAACTGGGACGAACTCAGAGAGCGAGGCATGGCAGGTGATCGAACAGTGCCACTGCCATTAGTATTGGTATGGTGCAATAGACAAGGATTCGAGACAGATGTCTTTCGGTTATACGAAGGTTTAGTTGGGACATCAGCATCCGTATTCGCACTTGGATTCATATTTGCAGTCGGATTTGCACTCGTATCTGCGCTTGGAATCTTTGCAGGGTCTGTTCCATGGTGTGCTTGGTGTGACTGATGTGAACGTTCTGTGGGTGTCGCACCCAGTGAAAAATAGAAGCCTTCGTTTCCCTTGCCGGATGCAGGCAAACCGCTGCTGCGGTATTGTTCATAATTCTTTGTGTTGCTGTGGCTGTCACCATGACCAGAGCCATGAAGATGACGTCCCATATCCTTTTCGAGACCTGAGGATGCTCGACGCAAATGAGCGTTGGCTTCAGAGCCATATCCTTGGCAAACACCCTCATGTGGGAAATGAGATGAATTTTTAGGAAGAGGAGACTCTGATCGAGCGTCACGTCCGTATGCTTCTGCATAAAAATCCATATTGATATATGTTGATAGAATGTGTGTGAAAAGAAGAAAAGATGCGATGTGATGTGAGTGGGAAAATATGAAAAGATAAATAGGCTGAAAGGAGAGTGATTAATTTTTTATTGATGCAATCACTGGGTATCAGTGCACTTTATGCGATTTTTTTTTTCCCCTTTTGCGTTTGATTTGCAATAACTTTTAGGAAAAAAAATTCTTGAAGAACAGACCAGTAAGATCTTGGGAAAAGAGGACTCGTGCCCTTTTCAACCAAGAACTCCCTACACCACTGAGAAGACTTTACTGATTTATCAGGGTTGATTGCCTCAATAGGAGATTTGTCTCCTGCGGTTTGATTCCAACCCTCCGACCCGATTCCCAATATCCGGACAAGACAAAAAAAAAAAAATCCCTTCAGTTATTTATCACAAGGTCATCATTCTATCGCTTCTTTTCCACCCTCATTGTTATCGAATTGCAAACATGCTTGCTTGTTCAGTCATGGAACAGGTAGTCAGATGATGTGTAATGGAACCAAAAAAAAAAAAAAAGAAAGAAAGGACGGTATACAGGAAGTTGCAGCTCTTGTTGCAAAAGAGAGATGTATAGATAAAGCAAGGCCAAGGAACAGTAGCAGCAGTAATAAAAAAAGAATTAATCATTATGGCCAGAGGGTCTTATTACAAAGAATCTTTAGACTTTCGGGCAAATGATCAAAGACTCCCAGTTTGTTATAAGATCCATCAATAGCCATAAATAATAGACTTTTTCCCTTTTTTTATTACTCTGCCATCAATCCTTATTACCAACTACCTCTCTCAAAGAGCATGTGCGTTACCTATCCTGTCCTTCTAAATATCCTTCTTTTCTTTTGGTTCATCGACACAGTCATTAGCAAGAGGTTCACGTTTCTGATCTTCAAATGCAAAGACCGTTGCGCCTTCGATTATCAATGAAGTAGGAACATCATGATGCGAATTCAAACATGCCTTTCCATTTTTACATCATTAGGGAGGTTTTTTTTTTTTTCCTTGGAAACAAAAAAAAAAACTCTTCGTGGTTCTTCCTCTCCTTCCTTCTCTTCAAGCTACATACCAACTCTTTGTTATTAAGCTCTTAGTCCAAAATTATAACAATAATAAACAGTAGATATAAAGGAAAATAAAAAAATAAAAAGCAAAAACGGGTATTAGACCGCTTTATAAAAGGCGCGATATCTCCATCCGATTGAAAACTTTTCTGGTGCCACATTGTTTCTTCTTCTCGGCATCATTTGCTAGTTGTCGTCATTGGCGCAAACATCGATTATAGTCGGAAAAACCCAGTTATTGTCGTTATTATTATCATTATTTTTTTCCCTTTCCCTTCGTCTACTAGGATAGGATTTAAGAGGATGACAAAGGGGAGAGGATGGGGAGTAGAAGGAGAAGTCATATGAATAAAGAGAGAGAGAGAGAGAGAGATACTCCCTTACACTCCTGTCAGATTTCTGTTCGACTCTCATCGGCCCTTGACCTCATAAGAGGTTAATATGGACACTCGTCATTGTGTGAGAGGTTATCATCAACCAGGAGAGGCAAAGACAGCATCAAAATAGAGAAACAATGAAAAATAATAGCCGTGGGCATCACATCGCAGGATCGTATTACAGAATGAAAGGAAACAGGAAATTGAATATATCAGATTCACGATAATCCATTTTTTTATTGATTGAAGAATTATATTGATGGTCAGAAATGAGGTTGAATCAAGTCTTTATACATCGCTCGGTGGAAATCACAGCCACATCTCAAAATGTGGCTGATTGCGTAAAAAAAGAGGCTCCAGAACTTTATCCAGTTCTCAATAACACAGGCTTGCTTGAATGCTACAGCTTCGAGCATGCTAAAGGCAATCCTGTCGCTAACAGCCGACATGGTAGCATTGAAAATCCCACAAATCATCCTACAGGAGCTCTTGTGCTGTACCTATACAAAAATGGCTATGCTATCCTACCCAACTTTTTATTATTCTTCATAGATGCCTTTAAATTTTGATATTGGTGGATGAAGAAGATAGACCATCGAAAAATCGATAACAGGTAATAGCCTGATAAAGGTGAAAAGTAATAGTTTAAGGAATAGTATATACGCAGAGTAAACATGACTGACAACGTTTAGATAAACAACATCCACAAGAGACTCATTTGTCTTTTATTAAAAGCAATATTATGCTATACTACGAACTTGGGATCTGTGTAGAGGGTATAATTATCCTTGGATCAATGGTTAGCTGTTTAGCTGCTGCTGCTATTGTTGTTATTGTTGTTATTGTTGTTGTTGCTTTTCCTAATCTATTAGAAAGCTCCTCGATGCTTGTTCTGCTGTTCTTGTCGATTTGTTGTCTCCATTCGTCCAGATCGAAGCTCATTATCAAAATCTACTGGACAAAAATAAGCATTTTAGGAGCCAAGGCGGGGCCAATAGCGGCATAATACTCGCGCATTGCTTTTTTATCCTTTTTGAAAACTTCTGAATCCTATTATTTTAAAAAAGAAAATAAAAAGTCAGTTTTTTTTTTTTTTTTTTTTTTTTTTTTTTTTTTTTTTTTTAAATTCAGAATATTGGTAATGACATGAATAATGATGATCCTATTACCGTAAGTATCATCGCCTTGTCACCCTGAAAGACGACAAGCTGCGACAGATCTTGGTCCGTGACATCATCAGGATCCATCATTCCTGGAGGTGGCATAGAGGACGACGACGGCGGTGGTGTGAGCGAAAGTCGTTTACCACTACGCATATATTCTAATAAAGAAGGTGATCCCCCATCCTGGTAAGGCCTCTTGCGCTTACAATTGCCTTCTCCCTCATCGTTGCTTCCTGAATTTGAACCCGAGGATGTGCCTAAATCCGATCTCGATTTAGTCCTAGACTCATCCTGAATTCCTAGCTTCTGCACATCCTCAGATACATCAGTCTCCATACGACAACAGGACGACTCTGTCATTTCCACTTCAGGTAAAAGCTGTTGCTGTTGCTGCTGTTGCTGCTGTTGTTGTTGTTGCCCTTGACAATTCTTTGATTTTTCACGCTCTCTTTTCTCTGCAGCCCTCATCTCTGCAGCCATTGTGATCAAGAGTCCTTTTACTCTTGGGTTAAAAAGTTCAGAATTGCTGAATGGAAAATATCTTTTTGACTGCAAGAGATAGATACATTTTTCAAATGGTACCCAACCATATGTCTCCTATTCATCCCAAGGAAAAAAAAAAAAAAAAAAAAAAGTTAATAAACAATGTGGATACTTTGCCCTTCACATTCCAATATACAATATACTATGCAAATGTTGTTCATAGGGTGCATACAGGGTCCAAAAGGTAAGATGGGTGGTAAAGAGCCTTATAATGAGTCTTTGGTGCTGACGACACATAGTGTCCCATTGTATAATACTCCATGTCCTGAAAGCCTGGGATCATTTTGATCTCCTGAACCAAAGCAATCTCCCGTAATGTACTGTATTTCCCCAAAGACAGACTGGACAGTGTTGGATCATAGTAAAAGTATCCAGATGAAACACAACGCGGTAATATGTCCAAGACCGATACAGCAATTAGTTTGTCATCAACATAGTAGCACTGATGGAATGTTCCGTAACCAACCAATCCGAGACGATCGTGCTGTGGAGTTTTGATCTCGGCCTAGAAACGAAGAAATTGAAATACGTATATTAGCCCAAACGTGAGAAGATATTAGTGTTTTTAAGCATTACTATGTAGTACGGAAAGCACATCTTACCACAAGAGGTGTACGCGTCGCATTGCTGTCAAAGGCCTCTCGTGAGAGCATAGATGAAGGAACCTGATGAATCACTTGCTGATAATGGCAATAAAGGTCATACTTTTCTTGTGTAAACGTCGCAGGTTCCAAAACAACCTTTAATAATAATAACAAAATAAAATAAAATAAAATAAACAGCGTGTTAGATAGTGCCTTGAAGGAGCCAATGTACTATTTTAACTCTCCAAATCATAATATCATACAAAGATCTCTTAATATATATATATTTACTAACCTTAAACCGCTTCCAATCTATTTCCCCGGCATTACGCATCCGATCCACATCTGCGGCATAGATACTTTGAAGAAAGTCCGCAGGCTCACCATGGCCACCACCATTGCTGCCTTTGACGCTGATTGGGGGAGTGCTTGATTTCCGGCGAAGACCATGACCATGATGGAGTGAGGGACTTCGTTGGGTAGAAGTAGAAGGAGTAGTAGCAGTGGTAGGCTCTGGACTGGGACTGTGGCTGTGTTCATCATTTAAGCTTGCATCTTCTCGAGCAACACTTTCGCGAGAGATCTTCAATGGAACGTATTGATTCTTGATGTAGCGATTAAGTCTAGCAACTGCACGTCGCTGACCCTTGGAAGGAGTAAATTCAGACGTATTAACACTTTTGTAGGAGGAACGAAATTAATCAAAGGTGGAGGGAAGATTTTCAGAGTTAAATTTAGAAATGCGGTAATTGCGGGCGCGTACAAAATATTTCGCAAATCCTTTTGGGCGAAAAACTTACCGAATTGTGTACTGTCGACAACAACTAGACAAGCACAAAGGAAATAAAAGAGCATTTAGAAGAGAAAAAAAAAAAGAGTGGGGAATAACCAATGTCAATGAAAGACAAAAGGATTTTGCTTTGAATGGGGAAAAGACAATTGTTTCGAAAATGAAAATATAATTTCCAACATGTGGCGGATCTCTCCTAATAATTGGATCATATTGATCTATTTCCTCCATGTAAGCCCAAAAGAGTGTGTGTATGGTCATGTCATATTTTATTTCATGGCCCCTCCCTTCCCCCCTAACAAGTGGACCGGACCAACCTCACTAACAAATAGAATCTGTTGGACCTACCTATCTCTTAGATTAGGCTTATACAGATACAGACCAAACCTAATAGAAAGATATAGAAGGAGGGTTTTGGTTAAAGATTTGTTATGGGCTTTCTCTGGTGATATTCTTCTCTCATCCTTCTCTTCATGGCATAGTAATCTCTCTTTTTTTTTTAGTATACAATACCTTCTCCAACCTTGGTCTAGTAGTTCTTGATAATCCTATAATAATAATAATAATAATAATAATAATATAAATAAAAAGGTCAGAATAAGATAGCAGACATGAACAGACATTAACAGGTCCATATCCCATGTTGAAAAGTTTTAACAAGACACCCACTGCTGTGTTTCTTTTCCCGACATTACACCCATTACAACATGCTCAAAATTTCCTCTCTTCCTCCCCCCCTTTTTTTTAAGAAATGAATGGTCACGAAATAAAAGTGTGCGCGTTTGCTTCGCCGTGGAGAGAATGAATGTTAGAAGACATGGACAAGTTGAAACGCGTACTCATGGTATTGCATGCGTAAGTTATACCCACTCTTCCCATCCCTCCCCTTCACCCACTAAAAGAGAAAGAAAAGTAGTAGTAAGAGTAGAAGGACTACTAAGAGTAGTCGTAGTAGTAGTGTAGTAAGCAACAGGTAGTAAAGTACAAGTAAAAGTACCTTGCACGTCAGCTTGTAGGCGAATGCACCATACACATGAGCCGAGTTTTCACTTCCACAGTAACCACATGAAGCAATGGTGAACCCAACGGGTTTGATGATGCTGTAAGTTTCTGACATTTCTTTTTTTTTTTTTTTTTTTTTTTTTTTTCTTTTTTTTTTTTCTCTTATTACTTTTTATCGTATGGAATATGTATGTGAATATGTTGGGCGTAGTGTAGTAAACCGTTGATAAATAGGCTGATGGATTGTTATATAAAGTATCGGAAGAGAAACGTCAACGAGCAAATTGCTAATGTTAATGCTTAGTAGTAAGTATTGTAAGGTATGTGTCTGTGTGTGAGTGTGTGAACAAAAAAAAAAAGGGTCGAAGGGAAAAAGAAAAAAGTACCCATGTTCTCTACACTTTGTCTTCTTGGTATGAGAGAAAGGATGGAGTCTGTGGAACAAATTCGTTAATTCAATCACATGATTTTATTTGACTTTTTTTTTCTTATTACATTCCATTTTTTTTTTTTTTTATTCGGAAAAAGTTAATGGCTCTACCAAAATATAAGGAAAGGAAAAAAAAAAAAAAAAAAAAAAAAAAAGGGATTCCCCCATTTAAGGGTAAAAAGCATGGCGCTGCATCGCAGGGTGTGGATTCACCTGTGTATGCGGAGTCTCTGAGAGATGTTGTGTCTGATGTGAATATGAATGTGGATGTGATCCTCGTCGATGCAACATCTGTTCCTGTTGTTCTTGTTGCTGGCGTTGAAACACCTCCCGTTTATGCTCTTGTAGTTGCTGGATCTCATACGCATTTAGCCTAACTGGACTGGTTGCTAAGGGTGAATGCAACTGTGATGGGAGTGAGCCAAACATACTACTGGTCGCCGTTGGTTGACCGCTACTGACCCCTCGAAGAAGTCGGTCAGAGTTATGGCTCCCATAGACAGGGATCGGCTGCGAATGTGCCACCGCCGCTTGAACCTCAAACATGGCCCCGGATGAAGAGATTGTCGGTCTTCTCGATAATGGCATAGACTTGAGCTCAGGCACAGTTGGAGAAGTATTACCCCAAGAATAAGGAGACGAAGGAACAGGGGATGGATGGCCAGGGCTTAATCGCTGAAAATCCACCGCGGAGGGTGAATGGCCCTCAGGGGTGGAATAGCGTGTCTGTGGATGCGAAACCGCGCGTTGGTGGAATTGAGACATCTGTGGATGCTGTGGTTGAGCATGCTGATAAGGATGATAGTGCAATGAATGCTGCTGAAGTGTGTCCGGTCGTTGTTGCTGGTGCTGTGGCTGTGGCTGTGGCTGTGGCTGATGTTGATGTTGATGTTGGTGTTGCTGCTGAGACTGTAAGATACAGGGCGATGGCTCATGTGGATCATGAACAAACGAGATGTGCGGGAATGACATGGCTCGCTGGCGGTATAACTGTGAATGCTCAGATACACCACGCATGTACTGATATGGGCCTGGCACTAAATGGAAACCTGAGTACTGATGAGGATGGTGTAGATGATACACGCCCCTGTTGCTGCCGACCGTTGCCTCGGCTGCGGCTGCCTTGCTACCACCCTTTGGGCGTCCTCTAGGCTTTGGAACAGCGTCTTGACAGCTCGAAGCCTTGGAAGGGTGCTTGAGACAGTTCTGACAAGGCCGTCCATGGTCACACTTGATATGGGACTTTTTACAGCTAGCACATGCCACTACAGGCGTCATGATATCATCGTACGAAGGGGATGTCGGTGAGGGTGGATTAGAGGATGGAGGGGTGGAGGAAGGAGAGGGAGAAGGAGCGTCGATCATATTGGCCAGCGTAGGTGTGTTTAAGCTGAGATTCAATGTAGATCCTTTGTTTGTGTTCATGTCTGTGTTCATGTCTGTGCTCAGGGATAGAGTCTCTGGGATGTGCTCAAAATCGGAGACAACCTGAGACATTGTAGACCCAGGCGTAGGGATCGGGAAGACAGATTGACCACGACATGTTTCTAGCGGTGATGGTTGACAGGGACCGGGCACACTGCCGAGTGACGTTGAGGAGCTGACAAAGTCAAGGTTCAACTCGTGGGGTGAAAAGATTTCTTTCAACTCCACTTGAGATGGATGTGATTGAAATGACCCAAATCGTTCACTGAGATCAAGCGGGGATGTCAGTGTGGATGAAGGTGACGCGGACGAGAAGATGGGCGTTAGATGTTCTTGCTTGAGAGTATTATAAGGAGAAGTCAAACCAAGTCCCAGACCATGTAGGGCTGCCATTGTGGTATCCAATCCGTCAAGTGGGCCTTGTTGCTGAGCAACAGCATATGAAAGAGTTACTGATGGGGCCATGGATGTAGGTGTGGATTCGAGGACGATTGTATTACTCATAATTGCCTCTGGGATGAACGATGAAGCCGATTGAAGGTGTTGGTACTGCTGAAAAGTATTGATGCTATTGTCAGGGATGGTTTGTGTGTTGAATGTAAGGGTTTGAGTGTTGACACTATTTTTACTATTATCAGTGAAGAGAGGGAACGATGACGATGTATTTGGAGACAAATCCGAGCCGATGTCCTGTTCCCAATTCATAAAAGTTTGATCAAAAGCTTTAGTCTCCAGAGGACTTTGCTGTTCCCAGAGAGGATCAGCAAATGGATCTATTTGGAGGTTGGGATAGAGTGAAGCTGACTGTTGTGAAGAAAAGAAAAAGGCAGGCGGGAGCAAGTAGTAATTATGCTGTTGCTGTTGCTGTTGCTCTGCAAACTGACTAGAATTTGATTGAAAAGCGAGATCTGACTGATGTACAGAGGTATTGAAGAGATACTGAGATGGAGGAGTAATAACCAGTTCGATGTCAGAAAAAAAGTCAGAGTCGGTGTGGTTGTTGTGGTTATGAAGAAGATCGATTTGTCGCGTCTTTTGGTATTGGTGTTGTTCTACAGAAGGGTCAGGCTGTGGATGAATGATAGAAGGATGGATGGGAGAGTATAAGAAGGAGTGGTGTTGTTCCGGGGTGGCTATGGTCTGGAAAGTGCCGATGAGGGTCTTGTGATCACTCTCCTGAGCGGTACTTTGGTCGCGAGGGTTTTCTTGAGAAAGGCACGGGTTGAGGTATTCTGTGGCAGGGCCAGAGATGTCTTGTTTACACTCGAGGTGATGAGTATGACTGGTAGTGCTACAGTAGCGGATATTAGGATCTTTATTGATCGTAGGGTATGGCTGAAGCTGCTGGGAGGACCAGAAGGAGGATGAAAAGAAGAAGAAAAGGATCAGTAAAACATGCTGAATCTAAAAAAACCTGTATGATATGTATGTGGTGTACAACTGACAAGGAGGGGATTTCTCTTGAAACTTTTTTAAAAAAGCAGTAGCAAGTCAAGTCGACGCTATGCTTCACGTTGTTTTTGTTTGTTTTTGTTCCAGAGAGTTTTTTTAAAAGAAGGTTGATGGGGAGTGAGAAGGAGGGACAGCGCAAGTACCTTTGCCAGAAACACAGAATGAGAGCGGAAAATATAAAAAGATAAAGTAAATAAAGATATGGAGAAGGCTAGTAGAGAGAGAGAGAGAGAGAGAGAGTAGAGGAAGTAGGGGAAGTAGAAGAACGAAGGGAATTGTGGTCCTTTTTATATTTCTGAGATGAGCTTTAAGAAAAATAAGCTGTTGAAGTGTCAATGGGTAAAGAGCCGATTGGATTGAGCTGCTGCTTACTTCAGGTTTTGACGTTGCGGAATAAAAAAGTTTTTTTTTCCTTCTTTAATGAAGGAATAGAGGAAAATAGAAACGAGAATTGGAAAGAGGAAGGGATTTTCAACTCAAGGAAAGATTTGCATTTAAGGTAACGGTATAACAGCTCACTTGAATAAGCAGCTTTTTTTTTTTTTTTTTTTTTGTGAATAAAACAAGTGTAAACAATACAGACAGATGGAATTGAGAAGCAAAAAAAGTGACAAAGACAGAAGCGGTTAGGAAGGTAATGAATGAGACTCGATACCCTCTCTCTCTATCTTTTTATACGATTTTTCTTGTTCTTTCTTGATCGCCCATTCTACAGGGTACCGTCACTGTGAATGGTCCAAATAACCATGACCACGATCATCCTCCCCAGGCCATGATGACTCAACGGTGTGCTTGCCAAGATCATTCAATGAATTTTCCTTACCAATGATCCCCATCGACTTTTTAAAAATTAAAGAGGCCTAGCAATTTCATCAGCACCCTCCATGCATGTTGACTTGAACATCATTAATGGAGTATCCTTGGCATGTGTCCCACACAAGGGGCAGAACGCTTAGTGAGAGAATAAAGAATCATTGTTGCCATTTTGTGCTTTTTTTTTTTGTGAAACACTGCTACCCCCCGCCAAAATCCGGACGTCGAAATGTTTGTGTAAATGAATAGAGACACCCAACCCAACCCTTGGATTCTTTTTTTTTTTTTTTTTTTTTTTCAATTGAATTGACAGGAATGTTATTATTCAGAATAAACTTTTTGAAGTGAAAGGGAAGTCGACAGAACCTATTCAACTGTAACCAATTGACTCAAAGGGCTCAATTGAATATATTATATATAATATGCATATATATATATATATATATATACATTATATATTTTACAGATTTTACATATTATACGTACAATATATTCATGTATAATATATATTCCATATTTCCAATAATACAACTCAATTGAATATTATAAATTATATAGAAGATGGCGGCAAGAAGTCTCCTCGTAATCATTTTACTTTTGCATGAGCTGAATTGAATCAATCTCTTCAATTTTCTTCTCAATTCTCTCATATCTCATATTCAAGTGTATTCAGGGCTAGAGAAGAAGATAAAAGACAGATAGATTGCACTCATCCTTTGGCTTATATTCTAGTGTACGTATCAAGAGACTCCGTTTATTCCTTCTTGGCCACTCCTTTGAGTCCTTCGATCTTTTTTTTGTGTGACACGTTACAATGTTTCTCTTCAATATTCTATAATACTTCATTAAATATCATCTCAGCAACCATGATCCCCTTTGTTACTCATTGTAATAAAAATAATAATAATAATAAAAAAAATGGCATGAACAATTGCACAGAATAATATCAGATTATAAATGAAATAAATGAAAATGAATAGAGGAGTAATAGTAAATAAAAACGTATACGAATGTAACATTTTTTTCCTTCTCTTTGTGCTATAGTAATCATGAATAAAGCGTTCATGGAAGATGCATTAAAGGGATTCCAATGTACATGTATATTGTGTGTGTTCTGTGGTGAGTCAGAATTGAATCAACCATTCAATTGACACGTTTAAAATAAAATATGAAACTGAATTGGTCACAAGACACATCCACCCTAATCAACATATTCATCTTGAACATGTGTCATGATATACCGACCTTCATCTTCATTGCAGATGTCTCGTGAACAATTTTTCCATCGCTACTGCTGCCACTGCTGCTGCTGCCACTGCTGCTGCTGCCACCTTCGCTCTTGGGCATTGCTGTATGTCTTATGACTCAACAGCTAGTAGTTACCTTGAGGAGGGTAATGAATAAAAAAAAAACAATTAAAGAACATTTAGCCAATCTATAATACACTACAAGCACATGGAAGATCGGGTCACTCAGCAATGCTAAGATAAAAAAAAAAAAAAAAAAAAAAAAAAAAAGGTATTGGGTCCTAGCGTTCAAAGTGGGCGAAGCAACTAAACGAGGAAAAAAAAAAAAAAAAATCTGAGGGACGTGCTTGGATGGGATGAGTAGCGTTTGCATAGTAAAGTCTAGGTTGCCTTCGCAAGAAGCTTTTTTTTTTTTTTTTTTTTTTTTTTTCAATAACGATTGTGAGACTTCAACGTCTAGTGTAAATGTCAAGGAAATCTGTCAACCATTCCTTCCCAGCATTAAAAAATATAAATTGAAATAAAAAACCAGATGTTCGGAAAACAGCTCTACCAAAGCCGGTATAAACACGATAAATGAAAAAAAATCAAATGAAGACCCGATAAAAGTATATGATTGGTGAAACCCTTGTACCCTGCCTGAACGCATAATTAATGCTACAGGCTGTTATCATATTTATTTGTTCATCGAGCCACGCGTATCGTTTTTTTTTTTTTTTTCATGGTTCACCCCTGAATGGCCCTCCATTTAAACGGGCAAATTAAAAATAATCGACTGTATGTGACGGCCTGGACGAATAAAATTGCTTTGCAGATCGCGTTTTTTGAAGGCATACAAAGACATACACAGCACATGGAATGGGCTTTGGCAAGAGTAAGGGCGTTTTTTTTTTTTTTTTTTTTTTTTAGAAATGAACTCACATTTTCTGTGTCCATTTTTCGCTTGCTGATATTGTTGTTGTTTGTTAAAAGTGTGACAAACATAGACGAACTTACCTTTGTCACTCGGGTCACCGAGAGATCGGGACTGTTGTATGTCAGCTTTTTTTCCTTTTTTTTTAATAACACTGTTTTATTCGTCCAACAGTGAAAAAATAAAAAATAAAAATAAAGCGCCGTGCAACTACAACTTGGGTACATGTACTTTGGTCAATCAAGATGGTTTATGCGGGAAGTCGCCCCCAGTCAAAACGGGACTTTCATTAAGAAAAAAAAAAAAAAAAAAACTTTAGAGCACAGGAAGAAAAATAAAAAAAAAAAGGTTAAAGGATTATAAAGGTCGGTGTTGGAGAGAGCCAAAAAAAAAAGAAAAAGGAAAAAAAAAAGAAAAGGTCTCTAGGAAGAATGTGCGACTTGAACAACTGAGGCTGTTTATTCCTTATCTTGATTCATTACCTGACCCATGTCTAAAATAAACCCAATGTTTCTCCCTATGGTTCAGCACCCTGTAATCCCAAAGAGATTCTATTCTTCTCTCAAGCATCAGTGAACTAAACAATGATTAAAGCAATAATATTTGGGTCAATATAACCATCTTTCATCAGTGATAAATGAATTGGGCTACTCTTAAAGTGGTATTGCTTTGTGAAGAAAGGAAAAGGGGATAAGGGTAGCCCAAGGTTTTTTCTATGCAATTTTTCCACCCTCTCCCTTTCATCAGGAACAGTCCCCATAGCCTTGATGGGATATGAAGAAGGAAAAGCCTTGCATTATTACTCTTTATTTAGACAGACCTTTGTCCACGGTTACATTGCCATAGCAAAACAAAAAGCTTTGTTTATTATTTGCTCTGTGCAAACCGTTCCAACTTGCATTAATGCTGCGGACTAGCAGACATGTTGTGGACATAATCATGCGATACCCTTTTTTGTAAGATAACAAGATAGCGATAAATAGATAGTTCATGGGAGGAAACGGAGTAATCGAACAGAAGCGACTGTGCGTTCCCGCCAATTTTATGCGTGTTTTTTTTTTTTTGAGTCGCATAAAAAA